GGACCTAGTGAAAAGTGAAGGAAGGGGTGATATTGTCCAAGAATTGTACTCATTACAATTGTAACCCCTCTGTACAACTCCTTAATAATAGCAACAAAATGAGTTCAAGCCCCAAGACTGGCAAAAATACTAGCAATAAACTTTATATTTATAAAACCATGGTTCATATGTTTAAAGAATTAAGATCCAAGCTGGTGCCTAGCATGGTTGTGCATACCTGTTAATCCCAGCTCCTGGGAGGCTGAGGTAGGAGGATGGAGAGTTCAAGGCTATCTTAGGCCACATAGTAAGACCTTGTCTCAGAAAACAAAAAGACACAGGGAATAGGAAACTATAAAATATGACCAAAGCCCAGTGTGCTGGCTCACGCCTGTAATCTCAGCTATTTCGAACACAGAGATCAGGAAGATTGAGTTTGGGCCTGGATAAAGAGTTCATGGGACCCCCATCTCAACCAATAATTGGATGTACCAATAGGCTCCTGTTTTCTCAGCTACATGGGAAGTATAAACAGGAGGCTTGAAGTCAAGGCAGGCCTAGGAAAAAATATGTGAAGCCCTATCAGGACAAAAAAAGTTGGACATGGTTCAAGTGATAAAGTGCCTGAGTTTAACTCCAAGTACCACCAAAAAGAAAAAGAATGACCAAGAACCTTTTTGGAGTTAATGCAGGGTATTGAACCCAGGGACTAGGGCATGATAAGCACACATTCTAACACTGAACTGCTCCTCCAGCTCTACCAAGAAATGTTGCCAAACAAAAATGTCCAGGCTTATGCCTGGTAGATGTTGCCAGTAATCCCAGTTACTCAGAAGGCTGAGATCTATGGATCAAGGTTCAAAACCAGTCTTGGCAGGTAGGCTGGAAAGGTGGCTCAGTGGTAGAGTGCTTGTCTTGCATGCATGAGGCCCTGGGTTCGATTCCTCAGTACCACATAGGCAGAAAAAGCTGGAAGTGGCACTGTGGCTCAAGTGGTAGAGCGCTACCTCTGAGCTGAAGGACAGTGCCCAGGCCCCACAACCAACAACAACAACAACAAAAAGCCAGTCTTGGCAGAGAAGTCTAAGAGATTCCATCTCCAATTAATCAGCACAAAAGGTGGACAGGAGGTATAGCTCAAGTGGTAGAATACCAGCCATAGAGCAAAAGAACTAAGTCAGAGCATGAGGCCCTGATTTCAAGTATCAGTATTCTCTCTCTCTCTCTTTCTTTCTCCCTCTCTCTCATCAGAAAGGAAGAAAGAAAGAAGGAAGGAAGGAAGGAAGGAAGGAAGGAAGGAAAAATGTACCTCCTCATCTTTTATTGAGGAAGCAAAGATTTTCCTACTGCTTAGACCGATGTTCGCATTTTACTGGCTCACATTGCATTGTCCATGACCACATCAAGCTGAAAGGTGACTAGAGAGAAGGGGGATTATGGTCAGGCGTTGTGTCTGCTAATCAGAGATGACTCACATATAAACTGATAGATCTCTCTTAAATGCCACTTAGAATTCCATAGCACGTACCCAAGACATTTTACTGTGATGGCAAGGGGCATAGCAGCTATCTTGTGATTAAGAAGAAATGGTAAAAGAATCCAGAGAAGGCCCTGACTTGATCAAATTGTTTAGCTGACAACAATAGCTTACTGGCCCTGAACTTTTAATCATATGTGTGTAAAAAACAACCCCCTCTTTCTTAAGTTACACGTGTCACAGTTCAGTTGCAGAGAACAGAAATACATCCGACTAGTTTAAATAGAAAGGATTAGAAAAATCAGGCTTCAGGTCAGGAACAACTGCCAGCTTTGAAGGTCACGTGACTGCTATGATCACGTGACCTCTGCCTGTAATTTAGAAATCAACAGAGAGACTACTATGGGAAGCTGATGTATCAGGAAACTGCTCCCAGAGCCTGCCTGCTGCTGAGTGGATGACTGCTGAATAGATGGCCCATGCTTCATGGCTCTGTTCCAAACTTGTGTGCCTTGCACACAGACCCTACACTGCAGATTCCTAGTGCAGGGACCCTAGGAATTGCTGTTTACTTTGTCAGCTTCTGGAGTTCAAAAGAAATTCTCACAGCAGCTTCCATTGGGTGCTGAGTGGCTGGCCCAGGACAGGGAGCTCACTACTGAAGTCAGCTTCAGGCACTCACAACCAGAAGTGCTCTAAACTGCCACATGACTCCCAGAACCAGGGCAGATCTTAAACACAGCATTGAGGGAGATAAACAAAGAACACCAGGGCACAACTTACACCATGTTGCTTAAAGATATATCCATAAGCTGGGTGTGGTGGTGCATACTTGCAATCCCAGAACTCAGGAGACTGAGGCAGGAGGAATGTAAGTTCAGCCTGGAATATGAAAGCAAGACTCTGTCTCAATATATATATATATATATATATATATATATACACACACACACACACACACACACACACACACACATATATATATATATATTGAGCTACTCAGGAGGCTGAGATCTGAGGATTGCAGTTTGAAGCCAGCCTGGTCAGAAAGTTTATGAGACTCGTATCTTTAACCACCAAAAAGCTAGAAGTAAAGCTGTAGCTCATGTGATACTACACTGGCCTTCAACAAAAGAAGCTCAGGGATAGTTCCCAGGCCCTGAGTTCAAGCCCCAGAACCAGCACACACACACACCACACACACACACACACACACACACACACACACACACGACACTACCTTTTTCAATGAAATGTACTTTTTCAAAAATTTATAAGTGCATGGCATTTAAAAATTTATCAAGAGATGAGAAAGCCAACGTGGGGATCAGGGATGGAAGGGAAATGTAATTAAGTAATGCTGGGATGATATGATTGGAGGGAAAAGGGTCATTTCAATTTTCTACATTGAACTCCAATCTACTAAAGTTAATAGTAAGGAATAATTTAACAATAATCTATTATTACATTCATAAGGAGTCTTCTTCTGTTTGTTTTGCTGGTAGTAGGGTTTGAACTTAAGAGTCTCACAGTTGCTAGGCTGGTTATGTCTCTAGCTCTACTTTTTGCTGGTTAATTAGGGATGGAGACTTGCAGACTTTTCTGCCTGAGCTAGCTTTGAACTATGATCCTCCACAAATCCTTTCAGCTTTCTGAGTCGTTAGGATTAGAGATGTGAGCCACTGGCACTCAGCTATTATTACACTAATAAATAATTCAAGTTAAGTATTTCCTATTGACTAGCACTCTGAAATGAATCCATTACATTTAATATATCAGTACTAGGGGGTCAGTACTAGGGTTTGAGTCAGGTAGGCAATCATTGTGTGTGTGTGTGTGTGTGTGTGTGTGTGTGTCTGTGTGTGTGTGTGTCTGTGTGTCTGTGTATGTGTGTCTCTTAGGGCTTGACTCAGGACCTGGCACTGTCCCTGAGCTTTTTAACTCAAGCCTACTGCTCTACTGCTTCCAGCTTTTTGCTGGCTAATTGGAGATAAGTGTTGCATGGACATCCTTGCTTGGACTGGCTTCCAACCTTGCTCTTCAGATCTCAGTCCCCTGAGCGGTAGGATTACAGGCATGAGCCACTGGTGCCCATCAATTCTTTATGTTTTGATCTCTCTAGCATGTATAAATAAATAAATAAACAGGTCCAGGTAACTCCTGAGCGCCCCCTCCTCCATTATCCTGAGTGTTGTAGCCATATTTAGTGAACTTCCTGTGCCTCTCCCTCTTTCACACCATCCGCAGCCATGCTGTATCAGAGAGGAGGACACCTCTGCCTCTTAGCCCACAGAGCCCTTTTCCTGCTTTGAGGGCTCTGCTTTGGAGAGCAATTGGCAGGTCTCAAAGGCAGAGGCGAGCGCAGGACAGAGGCTGGTCCTCCGTGCTCTCAGTAGGGGTAGCAGCCTGGGAGCTCAGGCAGGTCTGGCAGGGCCTTGGGGCCCATGTTGGTTGGCTTTAGACAATACTCACCCGCTCCAATCCCTTCCTAACCCGCTTGACCCGGCTCAGCCCCAAGGTGTTTGTGGCAGCTTTTTCTCTGAGTCTAGCCATCTGTCACCTGCTTCCAGGTCACTCGGAGCAGAGCGAGTGTGCTGGGAGGTAAGACCTTAGTCCTTTTTTCTTTTTGCGCCCAGTCCTGGGGCTTGAACTCAGGGCCTGGATGCTGACCCTGAACTTTGTTGCTCGAGGCTAACACTCTACCACTTGAGCCAGAGCTCCACTTGGGGCCTTTTGGTGGTCACTTGGAGATCAGAGAGAATCTCGCAGACTTTCCTGCCCTGGGCTGGCTTCAAACTGTGATCCTTAGATCACAGTTTCTTGAGTAGCTAGGATTACAGGCATATGTCTCCAGTGCCCGGCAAGACCTTACTCTTGGAGATCTTCCAGCCCCAGGTAAGGATGGGGAGGGAAAAGTAACTCCTTGTGGGGAGCCTCCATGGGACTCTGCTTCACAGTGCCCTTCTACTGTTCCTGGTCCCGGCCATCTACCTCTGGTCCTCAGCCTGGTGCATGGGACCCCTGCCCAGGATCCAGGGAGATACTGCACCTGTCTGTTCTGCCACAGCTGCCAGCCACGTGAGGAGGGACTCACCCACAGGCCTCAGGCTGGAAGCAGAGGAGCTGGACATGGCTGAGACACCGTCCTGCCCTAAGGAGGAGACCCCTGCCCCTGACGAGAGTCTGGGAGCCCTGTACTGGGCCTGTGTTCACAACCACCCTGCTCAGCTCCAAGCCATCCTGGATGCTGGGGTCTCCCCAGAGCAGGTGGCTCATGTGGACAGCAATGGAAGGGTGAGGTGCTGCCAGGGGCTTTCCCCAGGCAGCTGGGGACAACTGGGTCGCCCTACCAGGCCATATTGGTCTGATTGACCCTGAGAATTTCAGGGTCAATCTCCACAGTTGGGAAGGGTGAGGGTGGGCTTGGGTGGGAGAGAGGCGGGACTGGTGTTGGGACAGATATAGGTTTAGAGGGCACAGGAGGTCCTTAGGGAGACCCTGGAGGAAAGTGGGGACTCAGCTGCCCCACCCCCAGACAGGCCTCATGGTCGCCTGCTACCATGGCTTCGCAAGTATTGTGACCCTGCTGAGCCGCTGTCCTTACCTGGACGTGAACCATCAGGACAAAGAAGGGAACACGGCCCTCATGCTGGCTGCCCAAGCAGGTTCGAGGCTGCCCCCCACCCACCGTGTGCACTTTCACCAGCCATCAGGACTAGGCATGAGATTGTCCCAAGTCAGGCTCTGCTCCAGCCCGGAGAGCACAGCCTCCCCCTGTCCTGAGCAACCCGCACTCTACTCCTACGGACTCCATGACTCCAAAGCCCCCCAGTTGTCTCTCTGAGGTTTTCTCCAATCTCTCTCACGCAGAAGGCCGCAGTAAGTCTTCTAAGGCTAGGATCTTTGGTTTTTGAATTTAATGTGAGCCAATTCTCCTTTCATAAACCACCACTCCCTATTTTTTTTCTTTTTGTGCCAGTCCTGGGACTTGAACTCAAGGTCTGGAGGGTAGCTTTGGGCTTCAGCACCTCCTGGCCTGGGGAACCACACTCCTCCCTTCTTGCCCTGCAGGCCACACCCCTCTGGTGAGTTTCCTGCTCAACTACTATGCGGGCCTGGACTTGGAGCGCAGGGACCAACGGGGATTCACCGCCCTGATGAAGGCAGCAGTGCAGGACCGTCCCGAGTGCGTGGCCACCCTCCTCATGGCAGGTGCATGGGCCCTGGACTCTGAATGTCCTTCTGCTCGGCCTCCCCTCCAGACCCTAAGGCAACCATCATTCACCTGCAGGGAGGTAGAGATGGAATGTCAATCTTGGCCACCTTACTAGAGGAGGGGCTTCCTAGAAGATTGGGTTCTTTCTCCCAACCAAGTCGAGCTATTGATAACTCTGGGAGAGATGATCTCAGGAAAGCTTGGGAGGGAAAGCAAAATAGCAAGGTGTGGTGGCTTCTGCCTTAGCTAATAATCTTAGCTACTCTGTAGGCTGAGATCTGAGGATCACCTTTTGAAACCAGCCTGAGAGAAGGAAAGTTCCAATTCATCACCAAACATCTGGAAGTGGAACTGTGGCTCCAGTGGTAGAGTACTAGCTTTGAGCAAAAGAAAAAAAAAAAAGTTCAAGGCAGGTGCCAGGTGGCTCATGCCTGTAATCCTAGCTATTCAGGAGGAGGAAAGTCCATTAGACTTGTCTCCAATCAACTACTCAGAAAAAGCCAGAAGCGGCACTGTGGCTCAAGTGGTAGATTACTACCCTTGAGCACAGAGAGGCTCAGGGACAGCACCCAGGCCCTGAATTCAGGACCCACAAAAAAGAACAAACTGGGTGCTGGTGGCTCATGCCTATAATCCTAGCTAGTCAGGAGGGTGAGATCTGAGGATCACAGTTCAAAGCTAGCCCGGGCAGGAAAGTCCATGAGACTCTTACCTCCAACAAACCACCAGAAAACCGGAAGTGGCACTGTGGCTCAAGTGGTAGAGCACTAGCCTTGAGCTGAAGAGCTGAGGGACAGCGCTCAGACCTCGAGTTCAAGCCCCATGACCAACCAAAAACAAAGAGAAGGAGGAGGAGGAGGGAGGGGAGGAGGAGGAAGAGGACGAGGAGGAAGAGGAGGAGTCAGCAGAAGCAGCTCCTCAGGATCTGCATCCAGGTCCTGAGTTCAAGCCCTTGAAAAACCAAACAAACAAACAAAACATCTTGAAAACAAGAAATGGCTGGGACCTAGAATCTGATTCTTGGGTTCTAGTCCTTGCCTTGCCTCTGGCTGAGTGACCCTGGGTGGATGACTTCTTCCTCTGAGCCTCACCAGTATGGAGAATGTGCCGGCCTTCTCTGGGTTGGCCTCAGTTGGGACAAGGCAGGCCTCCCAGGAATACAGTGGCGTATAGTTGAGGCTCTTGCTGTGCTGAGTGGGGCTGTGGAGTGAGGATCACACTGACTATGAAGTTGGAATTTTCATTGTTCCCAAAGCCTCTTTTCCCTAGGGAAAGATGGGAAAGGAGTTCCACACCTTTCTCTTTACCCCAGATGTTGCCCTTTCCATAGGATTAGCATTGTGTGTGTGTGTGTGTGTGTGTGTGTGTGTGTGTGTGTGTGTCCTGGGGCTTGAACTCTAGGCCTGGAATTTCCTCCCTTTTGGATCCAGTCTCTTCTCTCTGATGCAGAAGGCTGTAGTAGTCTTCCAAGGCTAGGATCTTTGGATTTTGAATTTAATGTGAGTCAATTCTCCTTTCACAAATCACCACTCCCTATTTTTTCTTTTTCTTTGTTGCTCCAGTCCAGGGGCTTGAATTCAGGGCCTGAGCACTGTCCCTGAGCTTTTTTTGCTCAAGACCACTTGAGCCATATCTCCACTTCCAGCTTTTCGGTAGTTAATTGGAGTCTCATGAGTTTTCCTGCCCAGCTGACTTCAAATCATGATCCTCAGATCTTAGCCTCCTGAGTAGCTAGAACTACAGGCGTGAGCTGCTGACACGTGGCCACCACTCCCTATTTTAACTCCCTTGTTACCCTGTGCCTCCTTCCAGGTGCTGACTTGACTTCCGTGGATCCTGTTCGGGGCAAGACAGCCCTGGAGTGGGCTGTACTGACAGACAGCTTCGACACGGTACGGAGGATCCGGCAGCTGCTCCGGAGGCCCAGAGCTGAGCAGCTCAGCCAGCACTACCAGCCTGAGTGGCCGCCCTTGGCTGGGCTCGTGGCCCAGGCCCAGGCCCAGGCTCAGGCTGCCCCATCCCTCCTAGAAAGGCTTCAGGCCTCACTGAACTCCTCTTTTGCCCAGCCTCCTCAGGAGGGGGGTGTTCTAGACCACCTTGTCACCATCACCACGGGCCTCGCCAGCCCCTTCCTCACCACTGCCTGCCACACACTCTGCCCTGACCAACCACCTGCCCTGGGCACCAGAAGCAAGTCGGTGCCAGAGCTGTTAGGGACTGCCCCTCCTCCTGCCCCAGCACCCCAGCCTCCTCAGCAAGTCCCTGGCTCCAGAGCCTTTGTCCCCTACCAGAGTACTCAGGGTCTTCTCTCCCAGTGGTTACAGCCCAGGGACAGCACCAACAAAAAGTTTCAAGTCCCCAAGATCCTTCTCTCCAAGGCACATTCATCCCCTAGCCAGTGCCCATCCATACCCAGGTCTGTGGGCCACCAAAGTCTGGCCCTTCCTCTCTGGCCGTATCAAGAGCTCAGAATGGCAAGAAAGAGGCAGGAGGAGGAGGCCAGGTGTACACAGAATCAAGGGAAGATGGGCTAGGCCAGGTTAGGAGTAGGTGGTCAGGCTCTTGCCTAGACTCCTTTTCTGCCTACAGCCTCTTCTGACTTCCCATCTAGTTCTGCTGGAGGAAATCTGCTTCTGTGTACAAGGCTATTTATTCATCCTAGCAGTAACACAATGGAACCCACCTAAGTGTCCGCCCACTGGGGACTGGCTACATTGTTTATGGGGATAATTGCCTTATACCCATACCTACCCTGTAATCTGTATCCTCTACAGAGGATTATTAAGGAAGAGAAAGGAAGCTCCTTATGTTCCAATTAAAGGAGACCCTCAAGATTTATTAAATTAAAAGAATGGAAAAGTGACAAAAGTATTGTTTGTCAAATAAAATCTTTTTCACAAAAATAAGCATGACAGCTGAGCACTGGTGGCTGAGATCAAGGATCTCTGTTTAAAGCCATCTCAGGCAGAAACATTGGTGAAATTTTCATCTCCAAATAACCACAAAAAGCTGGGAAGTGGAGCAGTGGCTCAAGTGACAGAGCACTAGCCTTGAGCACAAAAGCTCAAGGACAGTCTCCAGGCCCAGGAGTTCTAGCCCTAGGACAAGCACAGAAAATAAACAAACATGATAAATACAATATAGCGTGAGTACCAAGATTTATTTAACTACTGAATCAGGGAACTCACATATTGGATCAAAGCAAGAAATGATGACTCTTATTGCCAGCTAATTGAAGAAAAGTCTAGTGAGGAAGAAAAAAATTAATTCCTATCTGGCAGTAAAAATATAGTATTTCTTTTTTAAAAAATTGCTATTTATCAATCTTCTTCAGGTTAATGTCTTCTTTCATAGACTACTAACTATTAGTAGTGTATTAACTGGACATGCTGTTTTACTCACCTCTAATCCCAGATACTCAGGAGACTGAGGTGGGCGGATCACTTTGAGCTGAGTTTGAGGCTAGTCTAGGCAAGATAGCAAGACCATCTCTCAAAAAAGAGACAGATAGACAGGCACCAGTGGCTCACACGCATAACCCTAGCCACTCATAGGAGGCTGAGATTTGAGGATCACCGTGAAGCCAGCCTGGGCAAGAAAGTCCATGAGACTCTGATCTCCAATTAACTACCAAAAAAATTGAAAGTGGAGCTATTACTCAAGTGGAAAAGTGCTAGTTTGCAGCAAAAATGCTCAGGAATCGCTCCCAGGTCCTGAGTTCAAGCCCCAGTACACACACACACACACACACACACATACACATACACACACACACGCGCGCGCGCACACATACACAAAGAGAGACAGAAACAAATGAAAGAAAAGAGAAGAGAAAAGAAGACATGAGGAGGGGGGTAAGTAAATTATATGTGAAAATTCCCCTGGATAACAGAGAAATGAGATTATTACCAAGTGATCTGACATATCCTTGAAAGGACCTTCAGTAACAGTTTGGAAACTTGACTCACAAGTTCTGGATTCTTTTCCTCACACATTTGTTGCAGAAATACATTCACTTGAATATTCATAGTAATTACAGTAAATACACTTAGAAGGTGCTTCCTATATACCTTGAGGCATTTGACCCTCCCCCAAATCTTCAAGATTCCATCTTTGAGGACATAGGCACAGAGAAGTTAAGAAGTGTGCAGGTCCCACACTAGAGACTGGCAGAGATCAAGATCAGCCCTCCAGATGTGGCCCCTATAGCACTAATCTTACTGTCTCCTGGGAACAACTCTGAAAAGAAACAGCTATTTTCTCTGGAAAAGGACTGAGCAGCTGATCAGGGCGAGAGGGAAACTTTTTATGAGTATCCTTTTTACGTGTGTGTGTGTGTGTGTGAGAGAGAGAGAGAGAGAGAGAGAGAGAGAGAGAGAGAATGAAAGAGCGGTATATTACTACTGGAGCTTGAACTCAGGGCCTCATATGCCTTTTCTTTAATTTTTAAAAATTTTATTGTTAGTAGTTATACAAAGAAGTTACCATTCCCTGAGACAGGCTATGAGTACAATACATCTTGATCAATGTCACACCCTCCATCCGGGCCTTGCACTCCTACTTGGTTTTGTTGTTGTTGTTTTTTCAAGTCTGGAGCTCTACTACTTGAGCCACAGCTCCACTTCTGGCTTTTTGGTGGTTAACTGGAGATAAGAGTCTCATGGACTTTCCTTCTTGTGCTGGCTTCAAACTCTGATCTTCAGATCTCAGCCTCAGCTAGGATTATAGATGATTATAGCGCTTGGCTATAATTATGTATTTGTAAAATTTGAAAAGTTAAACAAAAAGAGATGGCCAGGCATAATTGAAGACACCTATAATTCCAGCTGGAGATCAGGAAGATTTCCCACCTAAGCACAAAGAAATCTAGGCTATGAGGGCTAAACAACTACTGCAATGTCACCAGCGGGTAAGTGGCCATATGGAACTTGAAACCACCAAAGCTTCTGCTCACAGCTAGGCTTCCTCCAATTCTTCTTCCTCCTCCTCCTCCTTCTTGCCAGTCTTAATTTTGAACTCAGGGTCTGGCACTGTCCTTGAGCTTCTTTTGCTCAAGGCTAGCACTCTACCATTTGAGCCCCAGCATCACTTCCAGCTTTTTCTCTTTATGTGGTACTGAGGAATTGAAGCCAGGGCCTCATGCATGCTAGGCATGCACTCTACCACTAAGCCACATTCCCAGGTGCCTCCTCCTTCTTTTTTGTTTTTGTATTGGTACCAGGGCTTGAAATCAGACTGGGATGCTTTTCCTTACCGTTTCCACTCAAGGCTGTTGCTCTGCCACATGAGCTACACCTACATTTCTGGCTTTGTTCTGGTTAATTGAAAATGGAATCTTACAGACCTTTCCATCCAAGCTAGCTTTGAACCTGGATCCTCACATCTCAGCCTTCATCAGAGTAGCTAAGATTACAGGGCATGAGCCACTAGTGCCCAGTTCTCCCTCTGAGTCTTTGAGCCTGTCCTTCCTACTTCCCACCTGCTTAGGAGTAACACTGGCATCTATACACAGAGAGACAGAGAGACAGAGACAGAGACAGAGAGACAGAGAGAGAGTGTTCTGTGTTGGGCCGGATCTAAGGAGGTCAGAGGCTAAATGGACAATGTTTTCCAGCAGAGGGAGCCTTTCCATTTGGCTCCCACCTCCCACTCCCAATGCCTAGTCAGCTGTCTGGCATCTGGAAATCTGGAATCCCAGACCTTTCTCAAGCAGCACCATCTCAGGCCAACCTATTTCTGTCTAATTTGAAACAACTCCTGACCACAGCCTGTTCTCCTTCCCAGAGTTGTTCAGGCTGAGCACAGGGGAGGGAGAAGAGCCTCAGATATGGCCTTGCTCTGCCTGTTCCTGTGACACCTCAGGTCTCCACTCTCATTCTAGCTTCTAAGGCTTCTACTCTTTGGTTCCTGTCAGCAGAGATGCAGAATCCACACAGTCCCTGGTCATGCAGAACACAGGCCACAGAGACGCCACCAGCCTAGGACTTCAGCACTGGCAGGCCTTGCTGTCAATCCTAGCCCTGCCCCTCCCAGCCTCTGTCTCCTTACTTGCAGCATCAAATGATGATCACATATAACAACTGCTACTTTCCAGGGTTGTTGTGAGGCCTAAAAGAGGGGGCTAGTGAACAGCTCCTGACATAGGTAGGCAATTAGCAGTCTATTATCTGAGGGAACCATGGAAGCAAGGAAACAGTCCTAGGCAGCACCACAGAGGAGCAGGGGGTATGTCACTGAACCCCATGGCCTCTCCTGTAGTTCTAAGATGCTATTTTGGTGGCCATTACAATGTAAACCTATTTATCTGCACCTGACTCACTCCTGAAATCCTAGCTACGCAGGAGGCTGAGATCTGGAGGACCATGGTTTTAAGTCAGACCAGGAGGGAATGTCCCTGAGATTCTTATCTCCAACATAACAAGCAAAAGCAGAGATGGAGATGTGGCTTAAGTGGTAGAGCTCCAACTAAGCAAAGGAAAGGCCCTGAGTTCAAAGCTCACTACCAGAGAAAGAAAAGGAAAAAGAAGGAAGGAAGGAATCAATCTCAGAGGCTTTCTCTGACTGGCTCTGGCCTATCTCTGCCCCCCAGCCTAGCCTATCCCTTTGCCCCCCACCACTGCAGCCTGGACTACTGCCCCCAGCGGCTTTATGGTGAGCATGCTCCCACCTCCATCTTAGCAAACTGAAACTCTACATGTGAGATTACAGTGTTAGCTGTTCTGTTATACCCTGGGATTGTCAGCCAGGCTCAAGGGGAATCCCAGTCCTGTGTGGACAGGGACGGGTTTAGATCCCTAACATAAGGCTCAATAAGTGCACAAACAAAAGAAATGAAGTTCGGGCTCCACCAAGGTCTGGAATATGGAGAGTGTCTTTATCATCTCTGGGAATGCCAGTGTCCCCGTGTCCCCTATAACACCAGTGTACACCCCAGGAAACTCGTGTTGGGCCAGAAGAAGGCAAAGAAGTATATATTTAGGGGCAAAAGAGAACAGGTGGAGACTCATTGGTCCTCATGGGGAACCCAGACAGGATTCCCTCCTCTCCAGCTGGCATACTGTCCAAATATCTATAAATGTCATCCACACCCCAAAGAGAGAGCCAGCCTTGCCTATGCCCCATGCTTCCTCACCACCACCCCTACCAGTCTTTGTCCTGACCTCTCAGGACCTTTCATCTGTCAGCTTTCAGCTGCTGGCCAGGACTCATGCAGGGATCTGGGCCTGTCACCCTCTGTCCTTGCCATCTGAGTACAGTGTCACCTCACTAGTCAGGTGTGGAGAGCATGACCTTTCTTCAACAGGCTATCCCAACTCCTGCTCCAGATCATTAGACCCTGAAACTTGGACCACCGTTACACAGGCAATGCCACATGCAGACATTATCACCCAGGACCCACAGGGATCTTCAGGCTCACAGACACAGAAGTGTACATGGGACAATCGCACCATAGACTCAGGCACACACAGAGGAGTGACACATGCAAGCACATGGGAACACACATAGATGTTCTGACCAAGAGAAAGTCAAGACAAGGAGCTCCCTGGGGCTCTGGGCCTATCCTTTCTTCTTAGCCCTAGTCCCTAGCACTATGCGTTGAGTGTTACATATTGCCTCTCTGTCTCTGTCTCTGTCTCTCTGTGAGTCAGTACTGGGGCTTGAACTCAAGCCTTGAACTCAAGGCCTCTTGCTTTCACTTAGCTTTTTCACTCAAGGATGGTACTCTAACACTTGAGCCACAGCTCCACTTTTAGCATTTTGCTAGTTGATTGGAGATAAGTCTCATGGACTTTCCTGACCAAACTAGCTTCAAGCCATGATCCTTAGATCTCAGCCTCCTGAGTAGCTAGGATTGCAGGTATAAGCCACCAGCACCAGGCTGTATATTACCTTTGTGACTGAGTCTAGAGTTCAAGAGTTTGTTTGACTATTTGGAGTTGGAGTACTGACTGGGCTCAAGCCTTGTCCTCAAGTCCTCTGTTCTCACATAACTTTTTCTTTTCCTCCCTCCCTTCTTCCCTCCCTCCCTCCCTCCCTTCCTCCCTCCCTCCCTCCCTCCCTCCCTCTCTCCCTCCCTTCCTCCCTCCCTCCCTCCCTCCCTCCCTCCCTTCCTTCCTTCCTTCCTTCTTTCCTTCCTTCCTTCCTTTCTTGCTTGTTTGCTTGCTTATTTTTTGTGCTGGTCCTAGGGCTTAAACTTAGGGCCTGGGCACTCTCCCTGAACTTTTCTGCTCAAGACTGGCCCTCTATTACTTGAGTCACAGTATCATTTCTGGCTTTTTGCTGGTTGATTGGAAATAAGAGTCTCATGGACTTTTCCTGCCTGGGCTGACTTTGAACCAAAGTTTTCTGATCTTGGCCTCCTTAGTTACTAGGATCACAGGCATGAGCTACCAGGTACCTGACTCTAGGTACCTTTCCTTTTTTTTTTTTCTTCTTCTGATACTAAGACTCTGGATAGGCCATTTTGGCTGACACTCTGCCACCTGAGCCAGGGTTCCTTTCTTGACTGTGAATGAAGAGCTGTGTTCCCTCTTTCTTGGTGACTATTTCTTTCAGAGCAGCCTCTGATGCCCTCTGGATCCTCCGTTCTGAACATCCATGCCAGTACTCTGCACTGGGGCGTGGGGAGGAAGACAAGGGGCACAGCCCTGTTGGATGTGATGGTATTGAGAACAAGAGTTTGTGTGAGGGCCTTCAGTCCCAGGCCTGGGAAGAGCAGAGCCTGGGCGCGGATACTGAAAGGGCGGGAAAGGGGCAGGATTTATGGCATTTCCCCTCCAGCTGGAAACAAAGGCAGATTCCTGTGTGCAGCAAGAGCAATCCGGCCCCACCCACCTGAGTGGCTGGAGCTGAAGGAAATCCCCCTGGCCTCTGGCCTCACCCAGCCACTTGGGCCTTGCTTTCAAACAATCTGTTTCCCAGCCAACCACATTACCTACTGGCTAATCCTGGAGACCTGCGTCTTGTCCAAATGCTAACCCCTTCCCACTGGAGATGGCCACCTTAACCTGATTAACTGCCTGCCCAGGCAGCAAAGGTCCCCTCATACCATCTCCCCCAGCCCCTTGCCAGTCAACTCGGCCCCTCCCTCACCCAAGCTCAGGCCCAGCCTGTAGGGAAAGAGGCAGGTGCCATCCAAAATGTTCAACAAGACCACCATCAG